TTTAAGTGCAATGATCTGCAACTACACAAATCAAACAACGTGCGATGGAAAAAAAAATCCTATAACTTAAAGGTTGAGACAAGGTGCTCTTAATTTGTGTTCATTGAAATATCTGTAATGTTCAAACACATCAAATAAAATAAACATACAATAAAAGTGTATTTTTTCACATAAGGCGTTTCATTAAATAAGAAATCTACCAACAAAGCTGTGCTAGAAGTAGGATAAATGGAACTTGGGATAAAAATTAACTTGTAAAAATATGAAAACTTTCAGATTTTATATTATGCCTAAAAGGTCGTTTTTTTAATGTTTTGTGCGTTACCTTTATTGATTAAATATCATGTTCTCCGCACCTAAAACCAATAAAATTAAATTTAACAATAGTATTACAAAATATTTAAAAGCAGCAAAACAGTATATCTTTGGAATTTGGGATACACAGTCTCGAGCGCTGGAGATAAAATTTTTTTTCCCGTACTTTGTTGCCATTGTTCGCTTTGAAATCGTTGAGATTTTTAATCAAAAATTCGTTAAAGTTTTACAAAATTTTAAATAGATAATAAAACAAACTCTAAAATCAAAATTCGGGTTTCCAAACGCCCATGTTCGGTTGGAGGACTACGTTATTCAAAATTTGATAGCTCTAAGTACCATTGTTTCTTCACAATACGAGAAACATTCATGCAGATTCTTCATCATCTAGTTTCTTTAGATATAACACATGGCGATAATATTTGGTGGCAACAGTTTGAAAAGTGAATCGACACGAAATATTATTTCGAAATTAATAGCCCGTATGGGCTAACAACAGATGAAATATTCATATAAAATTATAACAAATATTCAGAGAGCAAAATATAAATTTTCGTCTCAGGCTCTAAAATATGTTAACATCGATGTGAATAGTTTTCAGGAACTTTATAGAATTGTTTCTGAATTACTGTGCTCACATTCGTTCAACCTCCGAAAACATTTTCCGAAACAACTGTTTTGGTCAGTATCATTTCGATGAGTAAAGTTTCGATGAAAACACACGTTTACATTCGAAATTATGTTCTGCGTTAACATTATGTTCGGAATTGAACTTAAACATTTTCTACCTTTTTTGGACGTACTAGAGTCAAAATTTAGGAGTAAATTTCATACAAGCGTTTCCTGTAAATTTTTCCTTCTCTCCTTGCCACCATCATCTTTATTTTGTCCTAGAAAATTGTTGTATTTAACATATATATTTACATAGCTATTCATTTATACTCTGCTCCAGCCACTTTCACAATTCAACTTGTACGGAGGTTAAATCATTTAGCCAATTACTTTATGATTTGATCTATACTTTCAAATCTGCTTTCGTTATCTCTCAACAGGAAGTTAATGACAAAATGACGTAATGTATACAAGAACGGAATTCTTGAAAGTTAGGGAAAGCTTTGGGTACTGCACTGACGACTGCAGTATTCCCTCGTCTCGCTGTAAGAATTTCATTATCCAACATTAGCTTTCACCAGCCAAGGTACTCGCGCAATTAATTAGAGCTGAGCCAACGCTTGTTAGGTTTTTTGGCATTAAATTATTTTGAATTTTTAAACTCATATTTTATACTTCTGAAATCTTGCAAGCTGGCGTAGATTTAAAGCAAAAGCTGCGTATTGTTAAATTTAAATAAAAAAAGTTTGTTTAAAAATTCTTCTGACTCAGTAGTTATTTACAAAGACGGCATTAAATAGCTGTCCGAGAATTAGAGTAGGGATCAAGGTTTCAGTTAACAAAAAAGTGAAATCCTAGAATCTTAATATTCTTAAGGGTATAAGTGCTGTCATTTTCAATCTACCATAACGGACACTGTGCATGAAAATATTCCATTCCTCTGTTCAGTTAAACATGATAAGTAGTCTCATTAAAAACTTATCAAGTTTCGTTTTTATTATCTTGCATTTCCTCCCTTTTTAGATAATACAAGACGTAGTTCTCCCGTCTCCTTTAAAACAGTGAAAAGAACTGAAGTTATCTTCTGTAAAAAAACAGAGTACTCGATCTTCATTAATGGGACGGCTTATTAAGCTTGAGAAACGAAAATCTAGAACGTAGAGAACGTAAAGATTTTGGTAAGTGGATTCCTTATGAACAAAATGATTATATTTAAATTCTTTATGATTATTATTCTCTTTTCTTTGCATATATAGTACAAACGTGCAGCTCTTTAAAATTCAAGATTAGATAACATATTCGATATATTAAAGGAAAAGGATGCTTAAAAATGCACCAGCTCTGCACTGTTGGGATAAAAATCACCATTTTTATTTTTTGAAGGTTAAATTATTCCGCATACGAATTCATCCTTTGCTATTGATTTAGAAATTCCCAAAGTTTACTCCATAAAAATCTCATGAATGATGTAGCTGTCACTCCTTCCTGTCGGGAAGCGTAAAACAAATCCGTTTACAGCCCCACCTGTGTACTACTACAAATTCTATTTGCATTTGTTAGCAATAACAACAAAGCGTTGATACTGTTGAGCTGTGCTACCGTCAGCGACGATTTTTTAATTTATTTGTGATAATTTCCAAAATACCGGTTTCTCCTTTGAATTCATTTAATTTTTTTTTTATTTAATTCTTTTTCTCCCCCCCCCCTTTAATAAAGTATTGCATGATTCTAGGCGTCTTTCAATAGTTAGAAAATTTGAAATAACACTTTTCAAAATTCTACAGTTAAAGTAATTAAAAAATGAAAGTAGAGTGAAATGAAATTTTGAAAAGTGAATCGACGCGAAATATTATTTTTAAATTAATAAAAGTATAGTATTTTGAAATTAATAAATGTAATTTGAAAAATAAAAGTATAGTGCTTCGGTATGCTCATAAAAAAATTAGAAAATTTTTTTAAAAGTATAGTGCATATAATAAATCACATTTTGGCAACTTTTTTTTAATGGACTCCTCTATTTTGTAAGCGAGTGATTGTTAGATATTTTAAAGTTGCCGTTTTACTTTATTGAAAGTTTTGAAAAAAATTTTGTAATAACTTATACAGAGGTGCTTAGGTTAGACCATCAGAAAAGATGTACACTGCGGGAGGGGGGGGGGGAAGTCAATTCTATATTACCCGGTCTACTGGGCCAATGGACGAAATTCAAATTGCGTTTTTCATGTCTCGAAAGCGCGACTTAGGATATATATTAGATTTGTATATAGCTTTGTTCTAATATAGGTATTTTGACACAAAATCAGTATTTTTTCTGAAATGACATGCCAGTGTTTTCCATAGTTCGATTCTACAACTCAAATTACGGCTAAATATTAAATTTTGTAAAATTTGATGCGAAATTTACGGAGAAACTCAACAATTTATTTTGCAGTATTTTTTTCAGTTTTCGCCAAGAATAATTTACTTGGCGAACTTCTTAATATATGGCATCCAATTTTCCTTTTCTTCCATTATGCCGAACCAGAAAAAAAGGCACCTTTCCTACCTTTTTACATTGTGTTTGAGCGGGGAAAAAAATAACATCGTTTCTACTTCCAAATTTTAAAAGTGTTTAAATCACATTTGATGTTTTATCTTCAGCAAATATGCCAATAAATTCACGTATATCTTAGAAAATTTTGAATAAAAAATTCTAATTTTTTTGCAAGTTTGCCTAGAAATACATCTACTTTAAGATGATGTTTTAACTTCTGTAGGTTAAAGTTCAGAAATGTTGTTTTCGAAAAATTTGTAAAAAAATATTTAAAAATACAAATTTAATATTAAATAATAAAAAATGTGCGAATTATATTTGGTCATTTTTACTTGGAAAGAACTTGAATTTCGAATTCTGGAAGAATGAATGAAGTAAGTTTAATAAGAAAAAGGGACATTAATAAATATATATCAGATTCAATTAACATTGAGGAGCTACAATTTTAAGAGCTAATTAAAAAAAAAAAAACTACTCATGCGATTTTAACAAAACCTTGACAGTTTGGCATAATTTGAGTTGTAGAATCGAAATATGGAAAAAAATTGGCATGTCATTTCAGAAAAAGTCAGATTTTCTGTCAAAATACCTATATTAGAACAACGATATGTAAATTTAATACATATCCTATGTCGCGCCATCGAGACATGAAAAATGCTATTTGTATTTCGTCAATCGGTCCACTAGAATAGGAGATATAGAACTGTTCCATTTTTTTTTTCAATTCCCCCCCCCCCGGCAGTGTACTTTTCCTACGACCAGTAATAAAATTCGATGCTTTTTTATCTAGACAAGTTTTCGGACCTCGAACACCAGACCCCTTTCTATCTCTTAAAATTATTTCTCTGAACATAGTGAATCGGATATCCTTACAACATTTCCAATACCGCATATTTAATCTGTTTTACTTAATTTCAAAATCAAACTGCAAATTATTAACTTTCAGGTATAAATTAAAAAAAGCAACTATTTCGCTTAAAACAAGAATTAGATTACATACGATTTGTAGTGTTTTCAGTTAAATTTTTAATGAATAATATATCTTTGTTAGCCCGAAAACTGACTAAAAATGAGAAAAATGTAACGTTCTTTTTGAAACAAAAGTGCATTTTACACATCAGACAGTCTGTTATGTATAACTATTTGCTGACTAAAACTGATTTTAAGAACGTATGAGACTTTATTTCTTAAGAAGCTTTACGAAAGATTCATATAAGTCCACCAAAATATTTTTCTCTCTTTCGTATTCAAAATTGTTACAATCTGCATTGAATTCTAAAGAATAATAAATATATTTTAATGCAGAATACTGCATTTAGCTCTAATATAGAATATTATTAGTTTGTATTTAAGCTAAATTAGAAAGAATAATCAAATATGCATTATTATTATTTATATTTTTAATGAGCAGAACAGAAAATAATTCTGTTAAATTTGAATGCGTGGGATTATAACTGTAATACCGAAGCACAAGTTACTTCACGTTATCATGACCGTTTTTCATTAAAGTTTTTTATACTGTGTTTAAAATGGTACTTACCCATACTGGCTTGGAATCATAAGAGGATATGTCGTCCGCAGTGGGGAAGGAAATCCTGAAAGTAAGAGACCTGTATCGGGGTCAATCAGAAAAATAAAAAGCTCACCAATTATATATATTATATATATATATATAATAAACTGTAAAAAGATTTAAATATAAAGTACGTGATTTCAGAAATATGCATAATTTGAATACGGCAAAGCATAGCAGGACTATCTAAAATTTAAAGATCTTATATTTCTCACATTGACATTAATTGCCAACGGCTGTTTCTAGATTCCCCCCCCCCTCCTCTGCCAGTTTCAAAGGCGTGATCGTCTCGATGGATTTTATTTTTCCAGAACAGGATTTTATATGCTAAACGAAAACAATACATCGCATTTGAAATGCAATAAACAATAACATAGTAATACCTCGGTATACGTCACTCATCTATTATGAATCTTTGGGTCTAATACCAGACTGGACGTACACCCAACGAACTTTTCTAATGAGAAATAAAGGGGAAATAATTATTTGCTCTTATAAAAAAATTCTTATTACTGTAACACTGCTAAAGAACAAAGCAGTGTACATAAATGAAAATTTACCAAATTTATTTATCTCTTTTCTTCTGTCAAGTCCCTATTTGGACCTGGCTGAAGGTCACCAGGTCTGACCTTTACTTTGAATTTATCTAATTAAGGAGGGATAAATACCATGAAAATTGAAGTTAACGAGATTTTCAATAAATTTGGAAACATTTAGAATTCTACATAAATATGTATATAAATATATTTTACAAAATATAATGGGAATTACAGTATATATGATTGATGAAAATTATTTTCATAGTGCACAAGTGCCCGAAAACAAATGTAAGCCATTGTAGTAAAAACATCTGAATACAGCAATCAGTGATTAGTAAACAATAAAATAAATATGAGATATTACTGCTTATAATAAGGAATCGTGCATTTTGTCAAAATTAAATAAAAAACATAAAATAAGAAAACAAAAGCAAATCTCAATTTGAAAAATGATACCGTACTACGCCAGTCAAATCTATCTGTTGCATTTTAAACATAGAAACTTATCTTTACACAGATGCTTCAGTTTGCAGTAATACAATTTATTTTCTTACTTACTGACGTTTATAGGCTTACTGAAATTATCACTGTAGCACCTGGTACTATTATTTGCTTATAGAAAGAAGCAAACAAAAAGACTAAAACGCAATAAATGCAAACAAATGAAAAATAGCGGCCGATTAATTTCGAACCAAAACTGCCTCATTACGGGATTACTAAAAGAGAGCTCTGCTGAAAATTTATTTGTCTAAAATAATTAAAATTTTTCTGCACCAATTCCGCACGAATTAGTGCAGAAATAAATTTAAAAAAATTGGATTGACGAATTTTCTCTCTCTCTCTTTTTTTTTTTTTTTTTTTTTAATTATAACAAATTTGCAAGTTTCTAAAAATATTTCCAGTTACTTACACTATTGAAATATATGATACTGTAACTACACTCTATAACAAAAAAATCGACAAAAATTGGTGGATAGGAAGATTAGGTACAGAATAGAAAATGATTAAAATTTCAGAATAACTGAATGATTTAATTCAGAGTACATAACTATAAAGTAACGAGCTCAATAAGATGTTGAACCGGTGGCTTTGCAAATGCGGTCAAGAGCAAGAGACTGACGTTAATTACGGAACTGCTGTGTAAACTGCTGTGTCAGGGATCATAAGGGGAGATATATTTTAAAAGAAAAGTGTTTTTAGTTCTCATTCAGTTGAGTACTCCTCTGTTCTTCACTATAAGTCAGTAATGGGTATAAGGATGCATATGGTACCAGAATGGAGACAAATTACATAGGATACGAAAAGTTTTGACGTGCTCTTTTATGTATCATTAAATATCTTAATAATACAAATATGCATTTTTTTGGTTTACTAATAAATAAATAATTAATATTAATAAATTAATTTATTAATAAATTAATAAATACGCTTTTTAATAAAATAGTACATAAACATATCAGTAATAAAGTATTTATAACTATTTTTAGTAATAGTAATAGATTAGTAAATATCCATATCATTAATGTAATTAATGAAAACCATTTGAAACCAAAATATGATTTGCATTAGTAAATTATAGTTAACAATAATGGCCTCCATTGTTCTGATTATTATTGGAATAATTTAAAGATTAAATCCGATAGTATCTTAAGATGGTTTTGCAGTTGGAAAAACAAGAATATAACTCATTTTGATACACCTTTCTTTTCTTTATGAATGACGAATATCTGTTTGCCATACACGTAATCAAATAGAGAGTAAGCGTTTAATCCATAAGATAATAAGTATTGATTAACATTTCCTATAACTACTTCTAATTAAGGCTTCCTAAGAGCAACCCCCTTAATTTTGACTCGCAGCTTTTAATTGTAGACTAGGATATGAGCATAGAATCTACTTTTAAACAATGGGATTTTTTTTAAACACTGTGGCATGACAATGCCTAGTAATAATAGTTTTAGCGTCACTAAGAAACATTTTCTGGTTTCCCATACTGATTTTTTTTCCAAGAGATATTAAAAGTTGCAATTGACGATATGAGCAATGCATAATACATACATATATAACGTAAGCATACCATAAAGAAAAATGAACCCCAACAAAAGCTGATCGACTGCTATTGAATTCTAAAGAGGGGTTTATCAGAGGGAAAATGGCAATTAAAATCAATTAAAATTTCATTTAATTGATTTTAATTATTTATTTACTGTATCGATTTATTACTAATTGTAATGGATTGGAATATTTGAATATAAATTAACTGAATATTTAAGAAAAATATTAGGACTGCGAGAATAGAAAAAACATTTTTTGAATATTTGTTTTCTTATAGAATGCAGATGAATTCATTTTTACTCAATGAAAATCAAAATTTAGTAGGTGATTAATCTGTCCTGTATCGAGCGCCTTAGTTCAGTGATCCGTATTAATGTGGCCTTTTTTTAAAAAATTTAAATGCTTCAAGAATAATTATAAAAGGACATTATTCTCTTCTTACCCTTAAATTATTCAATAAAAAACTGCATTTTCAGCTATAACAAAGTGAAATAATTCTCTAAATATAATTAAAAGCATAAAAAATAAGGTACATAAACGGCTTGGAAATGGAACTAGCATTGAGATTCTCTTTAAAGAAATATGGTGAAGCTTACAAAAAGTCTACGAAGTGAAGTAATTTCCGTAGAATATTTTCTAACTCTTTATGATTAAATTGCCACTCAATTATACTTTATAAAACGACATGTAAATATAATTTAATGTATATGTTGTGGATGTGTGTGTGTGGCTTACTAGCCGGCTGAGCGGTAAAGTCGTTGAACTCTGGCAGGTCGATCCGGGGTTCGAATCCCGGTGAACGGGATGGCTATTATTTGGCGTTTTTCGTGGTTTTCCCTACGTGTAACGTGCATAAGAGTCAGTTTTTGCTTAGAAAGCTTCTTCCGCGAGGCACCTCCTTACCCTTAGGCAAATAGCCGTCGAATGCTTTGCTATAATAAAACAAACCAGACCAAACAATAGATATATAAATAAGTAGCTTAACAAACTGCTACATTTTATGTATACTTATAAAGTAGTATTTAAATATATATAATGATTAAAAGAAAGGAAAAGTCGGATCTCAATTGATTGTATATAATGTAATCCCTATGAAGGCCCTAACTCTTTCAAAATGCAAATCCCCTTCTTTCTCACTTAAAGTCGTAACCCAAAGGAGAACAAGTAAAATTAAACTTCAGATACGTATACAATACTGATTGTAATACAAAAAATACAAAATATCAAAATAAATTATATATGTACGAAACCTAACTAACCATTTATATTGATACTGCATAAATATACGTATGGTAATGAACATTATAAATATAAAAATAAATTATATATGTACGAAACATAACAAACGATTCATATTGTTATTACGTAAATATACGTTTGGTACTGAACATTGTATAATAAAGATATTTTTCTTTGACATTTTATACCTTGTTCTATATTTGGTTCCATTTATATATACCTATATATACATATCTATAAGATGATTAAAAGTTAAGTTGTAAGAACAAACGAAAAAAGGCCCTAATCAGGCAAACGGAAAAAGGCCTTTTGATCAAAATTTTTTGCGCATTGTGCTGCAAAATTAAAAAAAAATTACAAGATAAATTTTAGTACGCCCGCCAAAAAGTTACTAAAAACTGTGGCTCCGTGAAAACTTCAACATAAGCATATTTAGTTGCTATGAAATGTGTGAAAGAAAGAAAAATACAATATTTAAATATTTACAAGTAAAATTAATAAAAAGTAAGCTATATGCTAAACGAATTTAGTAATCTTTAACACAGTAAAAAGACGTGAAAAGGTTGAAAACCATTTGGGTTATGACTATTTTCTGAGATACTCAGCTGCATCGCATGCATGCAAATTGAATCGCCATTTGTTTCTAGGTAGCATTCGAAATGAAAACCTCAATATTTACTACAAATTCATTCATGTAACAAATATCTCTTTCTACTCCTATGGCTTTAAAAAAAGATGTTATTTGTCTTACAGTTTATCGTTCAGTAGTACATTTTCATTGTACAAAATTGCATTCATTCGAAGAATTCAATTTGTATTTTCCTCTGCATAAAACTGAACGTAGAGAAGTTAGATATTTAAACGACCCCAACATTTTCTCAAGACCCCGAGCAAGATTATCCCCTCCTTGTCAGCTCTCCCCCCCTGAAAAAAGGGATTGTAAATTTACGACCTGACCGCATATAGGGTGATGTGGCTGACCAAGGAAGTGTTTGCAAGCTATACGACAGTTCACAGCAACACGTGCCGTATGTGGTCTGGCATTCTCTTGCTGAAAAATAGGGCCAGGGTACTGCAAAAGGAACGGTAGCAAAACAGGTCTCAAAATTTCGTCGACGTACCGCTGTGCTGTAAGTGTGCCTCTAATGACCATCAAAGGTGTCCGACTATCAAGGGAAATGGCACCCTAGACCATATTTCCTGG